ATGAGTTTAATATATGGCCTCCACACTTGACAATTTGCAATATTTCTCTCTAGCCTGGTGAATTTGTGCACACACTGGGAGATGCACATGTGTACCTGAATCACATTGATGCTTTAAAAAAGCAGGTGAGAACACAAAATTGAATTACAGTGGAATAAGGTTACTGGAAACCTCTCGTGGACCAGCCAAGATGATAACAGATGCATGGTGTTTGACAAATATAAAAGATATAAGTGAACAAAACTGTCTACAAAGGAAATTTTCAAATGCTGGACCTTAGCATATGATATTTTACCAAATGAAATATTTTGTTTCCACAGCTTGAGAGGGAGCCTCGCCCATTCCCCACCCTGAAGATTACTCGCGAGGTCCCAAACATTGACAGCTTCAAGTTTGATGACTTTGAGATCATTGGATACAACCCATACCCAACTATCAAAATGCAAATGGCTGTCTAAGGTTTAACACATTTTTGTTTATTAATGTTTAAATTAAACTCCATGTGACCATGTTTTTGTGGGAATAATACAACAATATCTAAGAAGATTCCAGCATTGTGACTTTCCAGGACAAAGCCACTTGCAGTTTGACCTCAGGAGCTTGAACAATCAAATGCATGTTGAACAGTTGTATAATTCCAAAACATCAAGTAAAATCAATCAGAATTTTTATTGGAAGAAGTGGTGAATCAAACAATACAGGAAATGGGATGACAAAATATAAGTTGTAGTTGTGGGGTTTGAATTTGATCTTGCTCCTACGGGTATTAATTGATAGAAAGGTAGCCTTAAGAAACTTTGATAGTGAGAGAATAACACAGATTGGGCAACTAACAGACAAAAATGTGATGGTGGCTGATTACATTGATTCGAAAGGTTATGTAATGAAACTTGATTCCTAGCAATCACGGCATAAATGATGAAACTTGAAAACCCAACGAAACTGTTTATGAGTAATAGCTAAACAAAAAAAAAAAAAAACTAAGAACCAACACCATGTTTAACTTTTTTAAAGTTGCCATATGGTGACCTTAAATTTTACAATGGTCCCCTCCTAAAAGGTTAAAACAAAAAGAAAAAAGTAGAGAGGGAGATTTTGTCAAATATTACATACTCAAATGTTGATCTCACTGCAGGGTTTAAACAACTTTTTCCATAAGCAGCCACTGATGGTGTAAATTGTAGGAAGCTGTGCCTGGAAAGGATGCTGTAAGGTGAAACCCAAACACAAGAGCCTGCTTGCTGGCAAAACAGACAGGTTGTGAGGGGTCTTAAAGACTGCCATTGACCAGCTTTTAATGAAAACTCTGCATTTTACATTTGAAATCATACCAACAAAGTAAGGAAATTTTTTAGTTTGCGATATGACTGCTGAACACTAATGTAGTCAAATTAGCAACTTTTCCTATAAATTCATTATTTTCCCTACTTCCCATGAAAACCAAATTAGTTGTAGCATGGAGGGCTTATTTTGGTGTGGATCACTAAGCAAAGTGAATGAATATGTATTTTTATAAAACAGAGCGTTTACTTTTCTGCATGATTTAATCTTTTTGTACAATTGGTATTAAAAAGTATGTTTTCTTTATTTAGAAGTACACGATGTTTTAATTTGTAACAAGGGTCAAAGGGAGGGATAACAGGTTAAGTTTTTGCAACTTCTCCTGTCCTGTCTGAGTGAGGTAAAGGGTTTAGGCATGATGCATCATTTAAGCCAAAATTAATGCGTGGAGTGTGAATTTTTTCAGAAAAGCAAGTGTGATTTGAGAAGTTATGAACCAGCCTGAGGCATTATTTGCCTCCTGACATATACATGACCTGATTTTTTTTCTTTCATTTTGTGAAAACCTTGAGATTTCCCTTAATATTTGCACACATAAAGAAAGCTTTGAAGTTTTCCCTTTCAAATTTGTGACACTTGACCCTTTTTAAACTCCCCTGAGTGACCAAGACAGAATTTCTCCCAACAATATCAATACAATTTCAAGCAGCCAAGTGATGAGAATAAAGGAAAATATCAATTGGGGGAATAGTACTTGATCCAAAACCAAATTCTCTGAACCAATAATTTTATGGCCGATAATAAAGGGAATTACTAATGTCATCTTGGGAGTGAAAGGGTTAAGAATTGCTTAAAAAACATGTGACGCCTGAATTTTTTTCTAAATTTGGGTGTGAAATGGGATGAGGGACCCACCCACCCCCTGCTACCCTCTTGTCTGGGGCATGAGGTCAGTTCCCAAACAGAGGCTGGTTATCAAGACAAGGGGTGTGATGAAGGTTAGTATATGAATGTTTCACC